GAAGTTGCAGTGAGCAGAGATCGCGCCACTGCACTCCAGCTTGGGCGACAGAGTGAGACTCCATCTCAAAAAAAGAAAAAAAAAAAGAATCTCTTGAATCCGGAAGGCAGAGGTTGCAGTGAGGTGAGAGCGCACCACTGCACTCTAGCTCGGGTGACAGAGTGAGACTCTGTCTCAACAAGAGCAACAAAAAAGTAAATTTGATGTTAGGTACATTTTTCCATAATAAAAAACAAAGGGTAAGCCAGGCACAATGGTTCATGCCTGTAATCCCAACACTTTGGCAGATCACCCCTCCCAGCCAGGAGTTCAAGACCAGGCTAGGCAATAAAGCAAAACATTGTCTCTACAAAAAATTTAAAAAGTAGCCGGGGACTGGGCGCGGTGGCTCACGCCTATAATCCCAGCACTTCAGCAGGCCGAGGGGGGCGGATCATCGTCGGAGGTCCAGAGTTCAAGACCCGCCTGAGCAGCATGGAGAAACCCCGTCTCTGAGGTTGCAGTAAGCTGAGATCGCGCCATTGCATTCCAGCCTGGGCAGTAAGAGCAAAACTCTGTCTCAAAAAAAAAAAAAAAAAAATTAGCCAGGCATGGTGGCATGCCCCTATAGTCTTAGCTACTCAGAAGGCTGAGGCAGGAAGATCGCTTGAGCCTAGGATGTCAAGGCTACAGTGAGCAAGACCCTGTCTCTAAAGAAACCAACAAAATCAAAGGTTACGGCCTACTAACTTTACTTTAGCCTAAGGTTCTTCCTTAAATCTTAAACCTCTTCAAGAAGTAAAAAAAAAATCAAGCATATGATCTGTTCTGTTCTTAATCTGTCCCCTTATATGCGTCCACCCAGGAATAAACAGAACACATTTCAGTCTGTAAACATACCACTCAACATTTCACCCACACACCCATACTCCACTAGAAGTACCTCTCTCTGTTTTGGGGGTTTCATCCCATCTGTTTTTACGAGCACTGGAAGTTGCGCCTCCATGGCCTGGTGTCGCGTGGCCTGGTGTATCGCCTCGTCCAGGAGTAGCAGCTCCCGCCGGTGTGTGGCTAGGTGTAGGATCCCATATTTTTGAGCCTGGGGTTGCTCCAGGAGTCTCACTTCCCTTTGCACGACCTGGTGTCTCATCCCATCTTAATGAAGGAGTATGCCCAGGGGTCTTAAAAAAGCAAAAAAAAAATTTATTTCACACACCCACATAGAAATAGTTAGAAAATTTCCATAAAATAAAACTTTAAATGAAAAATGTTTTAGTTCTATGTACTATAATTAATTAAGTTAGAGGACACTACCTCTACTTATAGGAAAATATACCTACTTTCTAGCAAATGTTTATGATTAAAAACAATGTAAAGTTTCAATCCGAAGCACTGACAAAAGTTCCAGCTTAAAAAAACAAAATATTCTGGGTATGAATCTTTGATATGCCATTAACAGCTCTGTGACTTTGGGGGAAATCAATAAGGTTTCTCTGTCTAGATCTGTAATCGAAGGCTTTCAGCTCTAATTACATTAGTACTTCTCAAAGTGGGGCTTAGAGACACATATTTAGGGGAGAAGGAATTCACGTGTTCTAAGAAAATAGTCCTGTTGATGTTTTGTTCAATTGTGTGTGTTTAATTAATATAAGCATGCTTCAGATTACCTATGTAATTTTTTTTTTTTGAGACGGAGTCTCCCTCTTTCACCCAGGCTGGAGTGCCATGGCACGATCTCCGCTCACTGCAAGCTCCACCTCCTGGGTAATCTTGAGATCAGTTTGTATTTACAGTTACATGTGTAGCAAATAATATTACCCTAGCTGAGGCTGGTAAGATTAATGAAAAAAGATGAGAGGTGGGTTTTCATTTGTTTTTTGACAGAGGGTCTCACTCTGCCGCCCAGGTTGAGCGCTGTGGCACAATCACGGCTCACTGCAGTCTCCACCTACCAGGCTCAAGCGATCCTCCCATGTCAGTCTCCTGAGTAGCTGAGACTACATACAGGCGCACACCACCACACTCGGTTAATTTTTTTTTCCTTGGAGAGATAAGCATCTTACTATGCTGCCCAGGCTGAGAGGTGGGTTTAAGTAACATCAAAGGTTCCACAGTACTTCACAGAGTAACAGCTGGACAACTGACTGCATGTGATAGCAAAAGAATCTCCACCAATAAAGACAGTATCATATCAAAGTAGCATAGAGTTGAGTGTAAAGAAAACAAAATTTGTAATTATATACTGCCTCATAAGTATTCCATAGGTTATGTAATGTACTTTATATATTTGTTTTAAAGTTGGGAGCTCGGCCGGGCGCGGTGGCTCAAGCCTGTAATCCCAGCACTTTGGGAGGCCGAGATGGGCGGATCACAAGGTCAGGAGATCGAGACCATCCTGGCTAACCTGGTGAAACCCCGTCTCTACTAAAAAAAAAATACAAAACACTAGCCGGGCAAGGTGGCGGGTGCCTGTAGTCCCAGCTACTTGGAAGGCTGAGACAGGAGAATGGCGTGAACCCGGGAGGTGGAGCTTGCAGTGAGCTGAGATCCGGCCACTGCACTCCAGCCTGGGCGACAGAGCGAGACTCCGTCTCAAAAAAATAAAAAAAATTAAAAAAAATAAAGTTGGGAGCTCTTGGCTGGGTGAGGTGGCTCACGCCCGTAATCCCAGCACTTTGGGAGGCCAAGGCGGGCAGATCACAAGGTCAGGAGATCAAGACCATCCTGGCTAACACGGTGAAACCCCGTCTCTACTAAAAATACAAAAAAATTAGCCAGGCGTTGTGGAGGGCGCCTGTAGTTCCAGCTACTTGGGAGGCTGAGGCAGGAGAACTGCGTGAACCCAGGAGGCGGAGTTTGCAGTGAGCCGAGATCATGCCACTGCACTCCAGCGGGGGTGATAGAGTGAGATCCCGTCTCAGAAAGAAAAAAAAAAAAAAAAATTGGGAAAGTTGGGAGCTCTTATAGACACAAGGACTTTATCGACCTTTATGTTTGCAAATTTGCATGGTACCATTAAACAAGTTTAAGACTCAATAGTTTTTCCTTTAAAAAGATACTACTCAGGGCCAGGCATGGTGGTTCACGCCTGTAATCCCAGCACTTTGGGAGGCCAGGCAGGCAGATCAATTGAGGCCAGGAGTTGAGACCAGCCCGGCCAACATGGCAAAAGCCCATCTCTACTAAAAATAAAAAATAAAAATAGCTGGGTGTGGTGGTGCACACTTGTAATTCCAGCTACTCAGGAGGGTGAAGCACGAGAATTGCCTAAACCCAGGAGGCGGAGGTTGCAACGAGCCAAGATCGTGCCACTGCACTCCAGCCTGGGTGACAGAGTAAGACTCTGTCTCAAAAAAAAAAAAAAAAAAAAGATATTACTGTTACTCAGCGTTGAAAAATTCTGGATTAGGTAAATAAAGCACACAAATCGTTTAAAGTCTCCATTCTGGCATCTGTCCCTCCTGCTGAATTATAAGGAAAGATGGGAAATAAATTCTATTATCTAATTCCTACATTTATGACTACAGTTGTATTAAATGAACAGAACAACAAAAAAAAAAGTCTTGAGTCTCTGAATTATTTATTTATTTATTATTTATTAATTTTGAGACAGAGCCTCACTCTGTCACCCAGGTCAGAGTGCAATGGCACGATCTCAGCTCCCTGCAACCTCTGCCTTCCGGGTTCAAGCAATTTTCCTGCCTCAGCCTCCTGAGTAGCTGGGATTACAGGTGCCTGCCATCACACCTGACTAATTTTTTGCATTTTTAGTAGAGACGTGGTTTCACCATGTTGGCCAGGCTGGTCTCAAACTCCCAACCTCAGGTGATCTGCCCGCTTGGCCTCCCAAAGTGCTGGGATTACAGGCATGAACCAGCGTGCCTGGCCAAGTCTCTGTAGTTTCTATAAGAAAGATATCAGCATATCAGCTCTCATGCCAGGCGCAGTGGCTCACACCTGTAATCCCAGCACTTTGGGAGGCCAAGGCGGGTGGGTCACCTGAAGTTGGGAGTTTGAGACCAGCCTGGCCAACATGGCAAAACCCCGTCTCTCCTAAAAATTAGCCAGGCATGGTGGTAGGCACCTATAATCCCAGCTATTTGGGAGGCTGAGGCAGGAGACTCGCTTGAACCCAGGAGGCGGAGGGTGCACGGGGGCCGAAATCATGCCATTGCACTCTAGTCAGGGTGACAGAGCAAGACTCTGTCTCAAAAAAAAAAAGAAAAAAAAAAAGAAAGGTATCAGCTCTTGTGTCTAGTTATGTGCATACAGTTAAACAATTACCAGGACAAACTTCTTTATCTTTCTCATACTTAGTACTGAATGTCATCCACAGAATTAAAGTTAGTAGTTACTTGGCTGGACACGGCGGCTCATAACTGTAATCCCAGCACTTTGGGAGGCCAAGGTCGGGGGATCACTTGAGGTCAGGGGTTCAGCACCAGCCTGGCCAACATGGAGAAACCCTGTCCCTACTAAAAATACAAAAATTAGCTGGGCCTGATGGCACATGCCTGTAATCTCAGATACTTGGGAGGCTGAGGCACAAGAGTCACTTGAGTCTGGGAGGCGGAAACTGCAATGAGATGAGGTTGCACCAATGCACTCCAGCTACCCATGGGTAACAGAGCAAGACTCTGTCTCAAAAATTAAAATTAAAATTAAAGCCAGTAGTTACTTATATTGAGCAGAACCATACCCCTCCTACATATCACCAAGCAAATGAGAAGTCCTCACCTTAAACTAAATTGTTTAGAAATTATGTATTAGGTTTATATCCCAATTCTGGGTTTGGGGAAATACTGCATGATCTGATAGGTTTTTTCTTGATTTATAAGTTAAATATATAGCAGTCCAGGCTAGAGCTAATAGTGATTTAGACAAGGATGGTAGAGGCAGAGATCATGAAAAGTGGCTAGCTCCTTAATATATTTAAAGCTGATGCCAAGAAAATGTATATGGGTAGGATATGGGATAAGAGAATAAGGAGTATTGGATGACTCCCTAAATGTTTTTTGTTGTTGTTTTTTTTTTTTTTTGAGACACAGTCTCGCTCTGTCGCCAAGACTGGAGTGCAGTGGCACCATCTCCACTCACTGCAACCTGCACCTTCCAGGTTCAAGTGATTCTCCTGCCTCAGCCTCCCGAGCAGCTGGGATTACAGGCGCCCGCCAACACGCCGGGCTAATTTTTGTATTTTAAAATACACCATGTTGGCCAGGCTGATCTCGAACTCCTGACCTCAAATAATTCACCCACCTTGGCCTCCCAAAGTGCTGGGATTATAGGCATGAGCCACTGGACCCGATCCTAAATGTTTTGCTTGAGCCAAACAGACATGGGAAAGACCAGGGGAGCAGGACTGAGAAGAGACGTATGCGAAAAAAATTAATAATTTTCTTTCAGAAATACTGATTTTGAAATGCCCATTGAACAGCCAAATAAATATGTCAGGCTGAACAAACACGCAAGTCTGCGGAACAGAAGCAGAGGAAAGATTTATAAGTTTGGGAGCTATTTTATGTAAATGGTATATAAAGACAAGAATGAGATCCTAGGGATCGAGCACTGATGGAAAAGAATCCAAAAAACTCAGCACTACTATAATACCCCAAAGTTCGGAGGTAAGAAGAATGAGGATCCAGCAAACAAGACTAAGCAGTAGTAACCAGTGAGGAGATTTTGAGGGGAAGCAAGAAAGACTAAAACCCAGAGACTGAGAGAGAAAAGGGTATGAAGAAATGTCAAATGTTCTTGATATGCTAAGTCATATGAGAAATGAAAATACACTTTTTAAATTTATCAATTAGGGGTCAAGTGACCTTGACAAGAGATTTTAGGTGGAGTAGACTAGAACTACGTTAAGAAGACTAGAAACTACGTAAGACTAGAACTGACGGTCCTCGGCGGGTCTGGACGTGGCGGGTTGCTTTCCAAAATGGCGCGCGCGCTGAGGGCTGCAGCCGCGAATGCCAGACTGGGGAGAAACCAGAAAGGAGAGCAAGTCCTGTAAAAACAACTACTACTTCGGCCGAACTCCAGGCATGACCAGCTTTGTGTTGGGAACACTCAAAGGGGTTTTTTTCCAGACTCCAAGCTCCCATACCAACAGTAAGAGCTTCTTCCACGTCACGGCCCTTGGATCAAATGGCAGGTTCTGTGTGGAACCGTGGTCGACTCAATCATGTAGCCATAGCAGTGCCAGATTTGGAAAACGTGCAACATTTTATGAGAATATTCTGGGGGCCCCGGTAAGTGAAGCGGTCCCTCTTCCTGAACATGAAGTATCTGTTGTTTTTGTCAACCTGGGAAATACCAAGATGGAACTGCTTCATCCACTGGGATGTGACAGTCCAATTGCAGGTTTTCTGCAGAAAAACAAGGCTGGAGGAATGCATCACATCTGCATCGAGATGGGGAATAACATTTTGATGGCAATTTAATCGTGATTTTCATGTGTATCTTGATAAGGTCAAAGGTGGATAATATTAATGCAGCTGTGATGGATTTGACAAAAAAGAAGATCCGCAGTTTAAGAGAAGAGGTCAAAATAGGAGCACATGGAAAACCAGTGATTTTTCTCCATCCTAAAGACTGTGGTGAGAGACCGGGCGTGGTGGCTCACACCTGTAATCCCAGCACTTTGGGAGGCCGAGGAGGGCGGATCACGAGGTCAGGAGATCGAGACCATCCGGACTAACACGGTGAAACCCCGTCTCTACTAAAAATACAAAAAATTAGCCGGGCCTGGTGGCGGGCGCCTGTGGTCCCAGCTACTCGGGAGGCTGAGGCAGGAGAATGGCGTGAACCCAGGAGGCGGAGCTTGCAGTGAGCCGAGATCACGCCACTGCACTCCAGCCTGGGTGACAGAGCAAGACTCCATCTCAAAAAAAAAAAATAAATAAAAAAGACTGTGGTGGAGTCCTTGTGGAACTAGAACAAGCTTGATTTGTATTTGCAAACAACTAAATTAACTGACCTGAAAAAGCCTATCAAATACTATCAAAATGTACTATGATATTGAGTCCTTTGCTGCTTCCAACATGTAAAAGTTCACCGTTAAAAACTGAATTACAGAAACATTAAAATATATACATATATAAATCAATAAATATGTAATTATTTAGATTAACAAACATATTTGTTAATTTGAATCTGAAAATTAGGGAACATTATTAAAATCATATAGAAATAAATTATTCCTCTTCTACAATGGGGTAATTGAATGTAAAAAAAAACGAAAAAAAAAGACGAACTATGTAAGCAGAGAAAGCAAGTACAAATAACTCATTCAAAGCACTTGTGGCTCATGCCTGTAATCCCAGCACTTTGCAAGGCTGAGGCAGACAGACTGCTTAAGCCCAGGAGTTTGAGACCAGCCTGGACAACACAGTGAGACCCGTTTCTACGAAAAATAAAAAAATAGCCAGGCATGGTGGTACGTGTCTACAGTCCCATCTACTTGGGGGGTTGAGGTGGCACGATCATTTGAGCCCAGAAGGTGGAGGCTGCAGTGAGCTATTATTGCGCCCCTGCACTCCAACCTTGGCAACAGAATGAGACCCTACCTCAAGAAAAAAACAAAGAACAAAGCACTTTGTTCTAAAAAGATATAGAAACAGGATTGTCACTGAATGTGGATGTGAATGAGGGTTAAGAGATGTTTTCTGCAGGTTTTTTGTTGCTGTTGTTAAGAAAGCATGGTAAAACATGTTTGCTGATGATGATAATCTAGTATGGAGAAAAAAATTAATGGTACATGATGAGAGTCTCCAAGAGGGGAAGGGAAATGGTACATAAGCAAAAAGAGTGGCTTTAATTCATTATTTATTTTAAGACAAAGTCTCACTCTGTTGCCTAAGTTGGAGTGCAGTAGCGTTAATCTCGGCTCACTACACCCTCCACCTCCCGGGTTCAAGCGATTCTCCTGCCTCACCCTCCCAAGTAGCTGGGACTACAGGCGCATGCCACCATGCCTGGCTAATTTTTTTGTATTTTTAGTAGAGACACGGTTTCACTATGTTGGCCAGGCTGGTCTTGAACTCCTGACCTCATGATCCGCCTGCCTCGGCCTCCCAAAATGCTGGGATTACAGGCATGAGCCACCACACCTGGCCCCTTTATATTTTATTTTTCTAGCAATAATTAAATATTTTCAAGTGCTTTCTAAAAAATCCATTTTAAAGGCCTTTCTATTCAGGCTAATGACAAACACAATAAAGGCACATATGATAGTTTAACATTTATGCAAACTTGTATCTTTTAGTCTGCAAGTATATATTATTAAATGATAGAAAACATCTAATATAACCATTTCTACAGAACTAGGAAATACATTTATAAGAATGATTTTACAGACTCCATCATTTTGTTTTTTTGAGACAGGGTCTTACTCTGTCACCAGGCTGGAATGCAATGGCATGATCATAGCTCAATGCAACCTCTACCTCCTAGGATCAAGGGATCCTCCTGTCTCAGCCCCCACCACTCCCCATACCCCAGTAGCTGGGACTACAGACATGTGCCACTATGCCCAGCTAATTTTTTTTTTTGTAAAGACAGGGTCTCCCTCTGTTGCCCAAGCTGGTCTCAAACTCCTTGAGCTCAACCAATCCTCCCACCTGGGCCCCCAAAGTGCTGGGATTACAGGCATGAGCCAATGCATTCCACCTCCAAAACAAATGTTTAAAAAAACAAAAAGAAAGTAGGAGAGTAGGCTGGCCAAGGGAATGAAGTAGCATTGACTATTTGCTGCCTGTAGTGAGGGTCTTAAGTTATCTATCTAGAAGATAAGGAAGACCACTATATCACACTCAACCTCCACAATGTAACATACCTACAGGTCTGTATTTAATATTCTAAAAAGAACTTTCCTTACTCTATGACATGGGCTAAATTGCATGCCCCTCAAAATTTGTATGTTGAACCCCCAGTGTGGCTGTATTTGGAGACTGGGTCTTTAAGGAGGTAAATTAAGGTCAAATGAGGTCATGAGGGTGGGGCCCTAATCTAACAGACTGATGTCCTCATAGGAAGACCAGGGACAGCTTGCTGGCACAAAGAAAGGCCATGTGAGGATACAGCAAGAGAGCCCTCAACAAATACCAACCCTGTTGGTACTCTGATCTTGGATTTCAAGCCTCCAAGAACTGCGAAAAAAATCAATGTCTGTTGTTTAAGGCACCCAGTCTGTGGTATCTTTTTATGGCAACCCAAGCAGACTAATACAGTCCATAACAGAAAAAAAATTTAAACAGTAATAACAAAAAACAAAAAGAAATTACCTCTGCCTGATCCCAACTTGATAATTTTTTGGGAGTGGCACCAGGAGTCTGATCAGCTGTTTGATCCCAACGCCGTTTTCGTTTTGATGGAGGCTGGGACGCTGCTGCTCCATTGACGACTTTTAGTTCTCCAGCTTTAGCTTTTTCTGCTAGCTGTTGCCTAATTTCTCGCTGAAAAAAAAACAGTGAGTGTTTACCTTTAAAATGCTTTCAATATATTTTTCTATCATTAGCACAATCATTTCCACTTAACATCCCATTTTATACTTTGCTCATTCTCCTTTCTATGGTACTCGTGGTCTCCCTTCTATGCTAGCTGGTTCCAAAGTCTGTGTATTTATTTCATTTTACATAATGCCTGTCTTTCTAAACAAAAGATAAGCAAGTTCAGAATTTGTAACATAGCACACTGTAGTTTATATATTGTAGGTGAAGTAAAATCTTCAGTCAACAATGGAGAACCATAATGCTTCCACTGAAAAATAGGGTTTTCTTCAAAATTAATATAAATAGCAATTAAGACTATGCAACGGCCGGGCGCGGTGGCTCAAGCCTGTAATCCCAGCACTTTGGGAGGCCAAGACGGGTGGATCACGAGGTCAGGAGATTGAGACCATCCTGGCTAACACGGTGAAACCCCATCTCTACTAAAAAATACAAAAAACTAGCCGGGCAAGGTGGCGGGCGCCTGTAGTCCCAGCTACTCCGGAGGCTGAGGCAGGAGGATGGCGTAAACCCGGGAGGTGGAGCTTGCAGTGCGCTGAGATCCGGCCACTGCACTCCAGCCTGGGCTACAGAGCGAGACTCCGTCTCAAAAAAAAAAAAAAAAAAAAAAAAGACTATGCAACAAGATAGAAAAATGGTAAAAGATAAAAATAGTAAAATTGTTTTATTTATACTGACAAATTATATAAATACTCAAAATTTAGTGGTAATGGATGTACATTTAATTCACTCTATACTGTTAAAATGGGGTTTTACTATCCCATTTAACTCATTCAACATATAAAATCTATTATATATTCATAATAGTAATGGAGGAGGCTGGGTATAGTGGCTCACACCTGTAATCCCAGCACTTTGGGAGGCTAAGGCGGGCAGGTTGCCGGAGGTCAGGAGTTCGAGACCAGCCTGGCCAACATAACGAAACCCCATCTCTACTAAAAAAAAAAAAAAAAAAAATACAAAAATTAGCTGGGCATGGTGGCACACACCTGCAATCCCAGGAACTCGGGAGGCTGTGGCAGGAGAATCGCTTAGACCCGGAAGGCAGAGGTTGCAGTAAGCTGAAATTGCACCACTGCACTTCAGCCTGGGCAACAAAGCAAGACTCCACTCAAAAAACAAAAAAAAAGGCGGTTACTAGACAAAATGGCATAATCTCTGTAGGCCAAAAGGAATTATTCAAAATTCTCCACTTACATCCAAACTGAAACTTATAGAATCTCACACTGAACTCTTTGACTTTTCCCTAACATACTAGGTTCAGATACACACCATCAACCTTCCTCACGGAAACAACCCCTGTAATGGCCAGGCACAGTGGCTCACACCTGTAATCCCAGCACTTTGGGAGGTCGAGGCAGGCAGATCACCTGAGGTCAGGAGTTCGAGACCAGCCTGGCCAACATGGTGAAACTCCATCTCTACTAAAAATACAAAAATTAGTTAGGCGTGGTGACGCACACTTGTGTTCCCAGCTCCTTAGGAGGCTGAAGTGGGAGGATAACTTGAACCTGGGAAGCGCAGGTTGCAGTGAGACAAGATCACACCACTGCACTCTAGCCTGGATGAGTGAGACTCTGTCTCAAAAAAAAAAAAAAAATCCCCTGTAAGACACATACATACATATACAGCCAAGGAGCCCAGGACTAGAAAAGGATATAGAAATGATTTTGAAAGGTGGTATAATTTGGGGGTAAGATTCTTTCTCAGTTAATTTTTATTAATACTATTAAAATATTTGTGCAGCAAATAGCAAAAAAGAAACATAACAGTCTCTCAATCACAACTGTATTTACATTCTTTCATAACCATTAGAACAGGAGATAGGTTTACATACTTCTTCTTTAGTCAAGTGTTGTTCTCGCATTACATCCATGTAAGTCCTAGCATTCATTTTAGGATCAGGGGTCTTCCCTCCTGCAGAAAAGAACAGCAACAGGAAAAGAGTACAATAAATAAAAGATAATCGGGTTCAACTGATTTATCTGCCCTGCTCTAAATATTATGTTATTCCATAATCATTTAAATTATTTTTTGATGGAAAACTTTAATAATTATACATCTTAC